GTAATTCATCAGCTGTTCATTTACGACACAGAGAGAGAGAGAGAGAGAGAGAGAGAGGGGCTGTGTATGTATGAATTACCACCGTTTTGCCGCATTTCTCTATTAACAGTGAAGCTGTGGCTTTAATTCCCTTAGAAACAATGACGCTACCAGCTCCTTGGTGAGAAAGATAATGTAGCTCTTGAGCGATTAAGCTATTTAGTTGATAAAACTGCGGGGCAGCGCTAAAAAGTTTGTTCATGAATGCCTGAGTTCGGCCGCAGCTTGATCTGTGTGTGTGACTGCACTTAACACCAAACTGCTTGTTTCACACAAATGCTGGCACAGACGTGCATGTTCGGCTAGAGTCGCTTTGAACTTGTGCATCTTCGGAAGCGGAGCTACGCGGAAAGTTACAAAAAATGTTGTGCACACCGTCATGCGAAACGATGTCGCGTGCACTCAAAGCGAACTTGCAGACGCGTCGAGTATAAATCAGCCTTAAATCAGCCTTGAGTGTGTGTACGCGTTAGATACAGTGAAGACAGCGCGTTAGTTTAGAACTCTTCTCAATTTTTTTTTTTTTTATTGTAGAGAGTGTGTTAATTTGTGCAATGATAACCTACCAGCAATGTAAATTATTTTTTAAACATATTAGAATGAGTACATTACAATATAAATTTATTAGAACAAGTACATTATTATTTATGGGCTTAAAAGCAAGATGCAAACAATCAGAATATTGTACCTGGTGGGGAGTGCACAATGTAAACACGAAACATATGCCATTACCTATACAGTTATGGAGGCCCTTCATAATGCAGAGGTCAGCTGCCTGCTCTGCCAATAGTTAGAAATGGCACTATAGTAAGCAATGTTTAATAAACAGCTGTTTTTCTAAATTCTGCTGAGGTGAAATTCAGTGCAGCCCTGTATCGTGATATGTATCGTATCGTGGCCTCTGTATCGTGATACGTATCGTATCGTGACTTTGCTGGTGATACACAGCCCTAGTGGCCACGTTTGTCTTCAAACAAACAGACACGCAGCGGTCAGGTGTGTGAGCGGCTTCATCGGCGACAGTCCGATGAAGATTACAGAGAGACAGACACATTCAGAAGTACTTGCATTTGTTAAGAGAACAATTTTTCCTGGCTCAGCTTGATTCAGCCTCCAAAATGAACTACTCAATAGTTAGTGTTTCTCTCTGTTACATAAGGGTCAAATACGAAGAAAGGTTTAAGCACAAAAACAATAAAAAACATTTTTTTTTTAAGTTTTCTGTTTAATGTAATTGTATTGTTGTTTTTCACGTCCACGGGTTGAAAAATGACACCAATAACGTGATATTTAGCCCCTGGAATGCGAATTTTACCAGGGGAACCCCGCCAAAACACGTGTATTTTATCCCCGGAACGATTTTTAACGGGGGACCCTCGAAACGCGGGCGGGTTTTGTTGTGAAAACCTGGCAACCTCTTCATAAAAGCAGTGAGGAGGAGGGAGGAGGAGGAAACGCATCAAACTAACAAAACACCGATCAAGTTCAAGCAGGTAAGTTTCTATTACATTTTTTATATTTAGAGCTTCTGTTATGAATATTATTCCATATTTTAATTTGAATGTCGGATTGAAATAAACATCGCCGTTAGCATATACGTAGTAAATTGTTAGCATAAGCGAGGCTAACGCTAATATAATGAGCATTAGAATGAAGTTTCTTTGTTAACTATTTAATGCTCCTATAACTTTTATTACTGTAAAAAACAGGAGGACATAATGGTATTTACTATTTTTACACACCAGAGGCTTTTAAATGAACTGTGTATCTAAAATATGCATGTTAGAGAAATGTACAAATGTATGGTTAACTGTTTGTCATATCAGTCCGAAAAATGCAACGCAACACTATTTTCCAATTAGATCAATTCAACTGATATTAAGAATTCTGGGGTTGATTTTATTTGACACTACGAGTACTTACCCAAGAAAATCCAGACTGCTATAAAGTTACGATATGGATTAAGGTTAGGTTCCAAGATTAGTGCCTAGTTATTATCCAGTTATTGCAATGACTATAATAAGTACATTGTATGTACATGTGAAAAATTACTGTAAAATAAAGTGGCTAATTTTTTCATTAGAGTTGTGATCAATTTGAATAACTGAGGATTGTAGAAAGTGAGAAAAAAATGTAGGGAAGGAGCTTGATTTTATCTATCAGTTGTTGATCAGATGGAGGCATCTGAATGTAATCTTCCACCATAAACTTAGGTTGTGATTTTTTTTTTATTAAACATTATGGTAAAAAAAAAAATCAAATGAAATGCATGGATGAACTGTTCACAATAAGATAATTTAGGTGCATTTAGAAAATAGGGTGAATTTCCATTTCATGCTGCTCTAAATATTCTTCCCTTCCCTTTATATTAAATAAAAAAAAAAAATAATAATAACCACAAGGCGGTGCAAGCATACGATCAGCATGACATACCTTGAGGTCGGATCTCTGCCGGACCACTTCTTTGAGGACGCCCATCAGAATATCTGTGGCTAAGGTGCGCTCGTGAGCCTCATCGAGAATAATGACACCGTATCGCTCCAACAGTGGGTCGTTCATAGCCTCGCGGAGCAACATACCGTCTGTCATATATCTGTAAACACAAGACACGTTTATTCACTCATCTTTATCTCAGGTGTCACCAAAAAAGAAAAAAACTTAATTTGTCCAAAAGCAACCACACTACGATTCGTCTTGAAAAACCAGGTACACATTATGTCAACATCTTTGCTTTCCACCAGAACTATAACTTACTTCAGAATGGTCTTTGCAGAGCTACAGTCCTCAAATCTGATGGAGTATCCGACCTCCTGCCCCAGCATGACATCCATTTCATCTGCCACTCTCTGAGCCACACTCATGGCTGCCACCCTACGTGGCTGTGTACAAGCCACACCACGCTTGGGGCCCGGGAGGGCCCTCACCATGTCCACACACCACTGAGGGATCTGAAAAACAAGAGTCGACCAAATAAGGAGGAAAACCTGTTTTTCCACCCATTCAATATGACTATGCAACAACAACGTGAGACCCTGGAGCACAAAACCAGTCGCTGGGGTATGTTTGTAGCAATAGCCAAAAATACATTGTATGGGTCAAAATTATTGATTTTTCTTTTATGCCAAAAATCATTAGGATATTAAGTAAAGATCATGTTCCATGAAGATATTTTGTAAATTTCCTACCGTAACTATATCAACACTTAATTTTTTATTAGTAATATGCATTGCTAAGAACTTCATTTGGACAACTTTAAAGGCGATTTTCTCAGTATTTTGATTACGTTGCACCCTCAGATTCCAGATTTTCAAATAGTTGTATCTCGGCTAAATATTGTCCTATCATAACAAATAGAGGTCGACCGATGTATCGGTTTTGCCGATTAATCGGCACCGATAGTTGAATGCTGGAACTATCGGTTATCGACAAAAATTTATGCCGATAGTTTTCCGGGTTGCGTCCGTTGCTGGAGCGGCTGAGAAGGGTCTGCTGTCATTACACAGTGCGAGAGCGGCCTCTAGTGGTTGAAATCACAGACAGCACGTGCTATTTGTTTAGACACGTGATACTGCATGCTGAACAGAGCGGGAAACTTCAGACGCGGATTTAAATGCCGCCGACAGAAAATCCTGCCGCGCCACAGAGCGCCATTCACATAGTTTTCCTTTAAATTACATTATATTGGTCCCGAATCGTTGTTAATGTACATAATGAATTGTGTATTGTGCATTTTCAGCAAAACGTTTGTCTTTCTGTGGCTCGAATAAAGTCTATGTGCTTCATTTATAGAGCTATAATATATGTCGCGCTCATCAATTTTAAAACTATCGGTTAATTAATCGGTATCGGCCAGTGTGGTCCAACCTAGCTATCGGTATCGGGAAAATCCACTATCGGTCGACCTCTAATAACAAACCATACATCAACGGAAAGCTTATTTATTCAGCTTTCAGATGATGTATAAATAATATGTATATGTAAATCTCAATAAGTTAAATAAATCTCAGTTTCGAAAAATTGACCCTTATGACTGGTTTTGTGGTCCAGGGTCACATATAATGGCAACAACAATTATTATTATTCTAAATACTTTATTTAAATTATAAAAAATTAAATCCATAAAAAAGTATTATTGCACTGTAAAAAAAAAGTTGATGATAAAAAATAACATGAAATTGTTTATTTTACAGTACAATATAAATATATTTTTTATTGATTTTTATAATTCAAAATAATTTAATATAATTATTATTAAATATATTATTGTTTGATTATTATTATTATTTTATTCAAACATTTTTTTTATTTTATTAAAACAAATCAATAAAGAAATATTATCATACCATTAAAAATATTTAAAATAGCAAAAAACAACAATAATAAAAAAACAATAATACCTTTTACCTATAGAGCTTTATTTTGGCAGAAAACTGCAGGGAGACTTTAAAGCTTTTATTGAGAACAGATTTATAGATGACTCATTCAAAATTTGGGAAGATGGTTGGTGCACGTGACATTTTTTAAAAGCATTTTATAAGTGACCCAAACTCACAGCGTTCACAGTCATGAAGCTTAAGTGGAGCAATATAATTAAATCAAAGCCATTTGATAACTGCACTAAGCCATCCTGCACTCTCACGCTTTAACCAAAGGTGCTTACTGTTTTGTTATAATGAAGAACAATCTAAAACATTCTAATTAATAGGGCTTGGTAAAACAAATTATTGATTTCTCGATTTTAATCGATTCTCATTTTTATGAAACGATATCGATTCATAAATCCCAAGAATCGATTAGTCTAGCCTGTCAGATAATGACCGCAACATTGTAGCGCTCCTCCCATCCAATAAATCGCAATAAGTTAATTTTGATATGAAAAAGTCTCCGATTTCAAATTCTGTCCATTTTATTAGAATATTCAAATATTAAATGCCGTTTTGGCGGTGTTTAATGTGGAGTGACAGATCGCTGTAGCGCTGATCATCTCCTCTGCTTTAATAGTGGTTACAGCACGAAATAAACGTGAATGAACATCCGAAGCTATGTTAAAAGAAAGCGTACAACTCACCGAAATCCGTATCCTGTCTCATGTAATCGCTCAATCAGTGTTTCAAATGCGGAAAGACGACATTAGCTTGTAAACTATATCACATAACGTCACATTTACCACAGAAAAACATATTCGGTGACCATGAACTCATTAGTCAGCAAGAAAAATTAACCCTAGAGAGGAACATTTTGCTAAATATGCACTATATAACATTCACTAAATTCAAGTTTTGTGGCCACCATTTAAATGTTTATATTTTAAAAAAAAAACGAATTGGAGTAGAAATATAATTATGTAAATTAAATGTAATGTATAATTATGCAATTAAAGTTTAAAGTTAGCATTATAACTTTAATATTACAAAAACTTAATTGAGTATATTTTAAGTGTTTGTACACAAATCTGCAAATTATTGACTCTCAGGTATATTTTACAGCTTTATATTTGAGAGATTTTTGCTCCTTGAGAAAATTTGCTATGTCCTGTACCTGATATATATCTAAAATAATCGATATCGAATCGAAGTCTTGTTAAGGATAATCAAATTGTGAAATTTGTGTCAAAACCCAGCCTTACTAATTAATACTTTTTATATCCATTGTTGAAAGATCCCTGAATGCAAGGAGCTTTTGGCTACAGAGGCCAAAGCAAGGTCTTCTGTGAAAAGCTGTAAAGCATAAGGAAGCCCTTGTTTGGACTAACCTGTGTGGTCTTTCCAGAGCCTGTCTCTCCAACGAGCACAAAGCTCTGATGTCGGTTGAGGATGTCATTAAAGCGTTCTTTGTACTCCCAGACGGGCAGCTGCAGCCTCTTCTTGAGGATCTCGAAGAAGCGCGGCGTGTGAGGCAGGTTGGTGAAGGGGTTGATCTGCTGTTGCATTGCCGTCTGCTTCAGCGGGAGCATCCCACCGCCGGACACGCTGGAGCTGAGGGGCACACTGGACACCTTGCTGTCTCTATCCCGGTCTCGATCACGGTCTCTGTCTCGGTCACGGTCGCGATCGCGATCCTTCGACCGGTCGTCCCGATCTCGGTCTCGGTCCTTACTGGTAGGAAGACACAAGTAATAACACAAGGTTTCAGTTTCTTGGCAAAGCTAGTACTCCAACTGGCAATATTCATGAGAACTTGATATTCAAACTATGTCTTTGAGCAAGCGACTGTGTGACTCTGTTAGCCAACTCTTACATAACACATCTTACTAATGAGACTTCAGAGAGTTTCACAGCTGTTGGGTTTCGGTTTATTTGTGGAAACCCGACTATCTATCAGCCTACTGGTGATAAACATCAGTTACTAGTCTGTGCATCTATTTAACCAATTAAATAGCAACTTAGTAATAGACCAGCAGAACAAACTGTTCTTTCTAAAAGTATAACAAGTATCATAACTATATACAGTGTTTCCCCTAGGTTTACGGCTTTTGGGGGAGTTTTTTTTTTTTTACCATTTTTAATGGTTAAATTACATTTCATTAATCAAAAAGCATGTCTAATTAATTAAAATCATGAAACTTAAAACAATTTAACATCAATTTATTAAAAGTTTAACAAAAATTACATGTTTAGGGCCCTACGAAACTTTTTCTTTTTTCCAACCTTATGTTTTATTGTTACCAAATTCTGTTTTAGCATGTCTAATTATTTGAAAGCATAAAAACAAGTTTCATTTATTCTTACAACAGCCTTATGATTTTTTTGCTCAGAAATTCTGTGTTGTGTATTTACATTTTTTAAGTCAAATAAAATAAATGACAGTTTAAATAAATCAGCAAACACCGTGGAACCAATTAAATAAGAAACGGATGTTTAAAAAAACTTCCAAAATCACCTTAGATAAACGGCAAAAGTCTACAGACTTTTCAAAATCCAAAATATTGCCAAACAGGCGCTTTTGCATCTCGTTTCGAAACTAAATCATCCGCGATCGTCTTGTCTGTCTCTCCTCACTCTTCTCGTCAGTCAGCTCGACTCGCTCTCCTCACTGGAGAAATGAAATCTGATCTGTGATGCGACTGTCGTTCGGCACGCTGCATTGAGCAGCCGCGTTCAATTTTTAATTGTAGTGTCTGTTCTTTAACTGAACTAAATTATTTTTATTACTATAAAAAAATCAAAACGACGGTGGTGGTCGGTGCCGCGCAGTGGGCAAGTGTTGCGGCTTAAAGGGATAGTTCACCCAAAAATGAAAATGTGATGTTCATCAATGTGTCGTCACGAGCCGCAGGGTTTAATTTGGATTTGTCTGTGCATGTTTTTTTTTACTCTCATAGATTTTGTTACCATTGCCATGCATTATACGACTGACAGACTGCAACGGCTGGAGTTAAAAATCATCCTGATCTGTGATGCGACTGTCGTTCGGCACGCTGCATTGAGCAGCCGCGTTCAATTTTTAATTGTAGTGTCTGTTCTTTAACTGAACTAAATTATTTTTATTACTATAAAAAAATCAAAACGACGGTGGTGGTCGGTGCCGCGCAGTGGGCAAGTGTTGCGGCTTAAAGGGATAGTTCACCCAAAAATGAAAATGTGATGTTCATCAATGTGTCGTCACGAGTCGCAGGGTTTAATTTGGATTTGTCTGTGCATGTTTTTTTTTACTCTCATAGATTTTGTTACCATTGCCATGCATTATACGACTGACAGACTGCAACGGCTGGAGTTAAAAATCATCAAATGTGTTCTACTGAAGAAACAGTCACCTACATCTTGGGTGCCCTGGGGGTAAGCAGATGAACATCACATTTTCATTTTTGGGTGAACTATCCCTTTAACACCGGTTTATCACCGTCAGCACCGTCTATCGCGGCAAGCCTAGTAGAAATTAGGGGTGCAATGGTTCTCGGTAAAAAAATCGAACCGTTCCGTTCTCCACTAATAATTATATATATATATATATATTAGTGCTGTTTCATCAATGTGTCGTCACGAGCCGCAGGGTTTAATTTGGATTTGTCTGTGCATGTTTTTTTTTACTCTCATAGATTTTGTTACCATTGCCATGCATTATACGACTGACAGACTGCAACGGCTGGAGTTAAAAATCATCAAATGTGTTCTACTGAAGAAACAGTCACCTACATCTTGGGTGCCCTGGGGGTAAGCAGATGAACATCACATTTTCATTTATGGGTGAACTATCCCTTTAACACCGGTTTATCACCGTCAGCACCGTCTATCACGGCAAGCCTAGTAGAAATTAGGGGTGCAATGGTTCTCGGTAAAAAAATCGAACCGTTCCGTTCTCCACTAATAATTATATATATATATATATTAGTGCTGTCAAACAATTAATCACATCCAAAATAAGTTTTTGTTCACATAATATATATATATATGTGTTCCTTGTATATTTAAAATACACACACATGCATGTATATATTTAAGAAAAATATGTTATATTAGTATTTTAAATAATTATATAATATAATATTTGTAAAATATGTAAATATTTTCACAAAATATACTGTATGAGTGTTTCTTTATATATACACATATTAACTACACACAGTACACATACATATGTAAACAAAAACTTTTATTTTGGATGCGATTAATCGCGATTAATCGTTTGACAGCACTAATATAACAAATACCACAATGTTACTGAAAACTACAGATAAACAAAGTAGGCCGCGCTTTAGTCGTATGCAGTCAAAAATCAGCCTCCATAACATAAGCTCTCAGGATTTATACATTCGTTTATACATCCCAAACACTCATCACTTTCGGTTTTTCTGTAGTTCGTTTCTTAGCCGCATTCCGACACCGGCGAAGTCACGACTACAAGACATGGTCCCCTTCATTAGCGGCCTTCTCCTCTCCACACAGGCCTCCTGTCTGCTTCTTTACACACTGCGAAGCAGAAGCATGAAGTAACTCGTCCAAAAACAACCGTGTGGAGAGTAAATAGCGCCTGCTGTGCGTCAAACACGTGCACAAGAGCGTGAGCAAGCTAGCACAAGCTAGCACAAACTAGCCGCTCTTTCCCTCCAACCGCGGACTGCTGAAACTCAACGTAACTTACCCGTCAGATGACCTCTTCTTGCTCGACGAATAATCATCGCCTAAGTCCAACCGGTGCCGTTTTGACATCTCGTTATAGAAATATTAATAAGGCGAAAGAGAAAGAGTTTGGTCGGTTTCTCCAGCGCAGCCGCTGCTCTCTCTCTCACAAACACACGGCTAAACGACAAGATGGCGACCGGAAGCACGTGCCCCATCATTATTATGACCTCTGCAGCAGACGCCTCTGTTCATGCATAGTATTCATGGCGGTTCTCAGTGCCTTTTGGCTTGGGATGCAAGATAAGTATATTAAAAATGTAGGTTGTGGGTGCTCTGCATACAGTACGCGGAGGTTATTAATATTATATGCAGCGCCGCTCGCAGAGCTGCAGTTCCTGCGTTCACCGCGCGGGGCGCTGCAGAGCTTGTTTCCTTGGAACTGATTTTTTTATTTATTATTTTATTACCTCCTGGGACTCAGGCATGGACTTTTGTCTTCTGTAGAGGACATTATATTTTTAGTGGATTTCTCTGAGACCCCACATGCCACCGTTTTAAGTCTGGATGTCCACATTCAGGGCTTTTTTAGGGATATCAAATGTTTGGAGGTTTCCCTCTTCCTTGGTATTTAAATATGACTGATATTGACAGAATGATCCAATTTAGCACTCTTAGGGAAATATGATAATGATTTGTAATCATCATTCAAATCTGGCTAATTTTCTAATTGTTTGTCGTAAATAAACATCTTAGAAAAACGTTATGGGGTTTCAAATCGGAATATGTTTTGCATAATTTTCATACAGGTCTTCTGTAGAGGACAGCAGGACAAACATCATGCTAATCAGACATTTTGGGGAGACCCAACAAGTCAACAGGGAAAGAAATTATTGCTGTGAAATTTGAGTTATTCTTATGGGATTATGCCGTTTCATAACAAAACATCATATTCCGATTTGAAAACCCCATAACGTTTTTCTAAGATGTTTATAACACTTCTTTTTTCATTATGGTTTGCCCCAAGAACACATTAATACGCAAATTAGATGCAGTGTATTGAGACATTGACTAAAATGGGAAAACCAATTTATGGACATTTTACGCACATATTCCATAAAGTACAGTAGTATATCAAATCATTCTGTTAGATCTTTCATAACATAGTTGAGATCTTTGTACAAAGTTTGGCTAAAAATAGCCTGAAACCTAAAAACTGATTGGTGAATGAGAAAATAAATCATTGTTTTTGCCTATACATGCCTTTTCGTGTCTATTTATGTATTTATTTATTTTGTCTTAGTCCTGGCGTCCTCTACAAAGGACATGGAATAAAATATATTTTTTCAAAAATGTTTTGTTTCTCACACCGTTTACACCGGACGCGACAAAATACTATAGAACTCATTATAATCAGTGATGCTGTCTACACTGGATGTAGTACTGGTACTTGTGCACTATTCTATGACGTTTTTTAGTATAAATAGTGCGAGTAGTGTGTTCACACTGAAAATTTCAAAATGAAAAAGTGCACTTTAAATACCCGGATGATGTTTATTTATTTAGTCATTTAGCAGACGTTTTTATCCAAAGCGACTTACAAATGAGGACAATAAAAGCAGTCAAAACTAACAAAAGAGCAACAATATATAAGTGCAAATGACAAGTCTCGGTTAGCCTAACGCAGTACACGTAGCAAGTAGGGATGCTCCGATCCGCCTTTTTCGCCTCCGATACCGATTCCGATACCTAGGGTTCGGTATTGGCCGATACCGATACCAGTGAAGTTTTTTTCCCCCATTTAAATAAATGTAGAATTGATATATCTCTCTGTGTGAAACTGATAATCATTATTTCACAATCTACTAGATACAGACTACTTCATTATAAAGAAAAATAAAATAAACAATAAATATGAAAAAATATAGGCCTATGTATATTTATAATCTATGACAAAAATGTATCATAAACTAGGTTAGTGGATAATTCGGCAGCAAAATTTATTCTAGAAAAATCAGTGCACAATCATTTTACAAATCCAAACATTTAGTGAAAAAACAATATTTTGTGGGGAACAAATAAAAGTGTTGCACTAAATATGGTAAAATGTTTCACATTGCTATTTGTATTATTATAAAATCTATTCATTAAAAACATTCACAACCCTCTACAGACACCTTGGCAATTGAATCGCCATTGGCTAGTACATTTTTTTTGTTTACTCGCCAGACTGAAATACTATACATATATATATAACCATGAACTTAGGGCTGGTGCTTTTTTTGGTCATTCAGTGTTCCTGTAAAAAATTGAAAACGAAGCGAAGGGGGAGGGGCTATTAGACTCTGATGCTGAGTGGTAAAATAACCTTATATAATTCATATTATACATGGTTGAGTGCATAAGTACATAGCGTATGAGTGCATAGTGTATAGTGCGTCATTTGGGACGCAGCTACGGTGTTATGCTCCAACCAATGTAATGACATAAAAAATAAATAAAAATGCACAAGCCTTTTTATTCTGGTTCTCTTATTATTACCAGAGTACGCAAATTATTACCAAAATCGAAAGAATAGGCTATACTCGTGCAAATTGAAAGTGATGTTTTGGACACTTAATTGCATGGTATTTGCAATGAAATGAAATGTATTATAGTTCATATTTGTATTAAAAGCAGTTAGTATGACACTAAAAGATGTCTCAGACATAAAATTAAATGTCTTAAACTAAAATTATCTATTACGAGTCTGATGATTTCCTGCTGCAAGTATCCAATTTTACTGTGCAGATTGTTATGTGAAGATTCGAGAATGTTTTATTGTTCAGAAATCTCTTTTCAGTATTACTCCCGTATAATGTTTACTCAACACTTCATTTATTTCTATCCAACATATGACTGGGAAATCACCAAAACCTGTACTGGCATTGCTTGAGAGTATCCTGAATGAGGTCTCAGAATGCACTGAGCTCCTGTACATTCAGACTATGATAATATACTGCAGTGAATCAGCTAGTGCTGAAGACAATCACTGCCGGCGACACAGGTAATTACACAGCCTAGGCATGGCTAACAAGCTACATAATAGCTACTGGATCATTGCTCGCGGCTGGGAACTGATGGTGATGGGAAAAAAGTTAACGTTAAGACTTAGCACTGCTCTCTGTATAAATCTGAAATACAGGGCAGTTACAGTTCCGCTTTCACAGACAAATAACAGGCCAGTTGCATGTGAAATAGGCTTGTCAGTTTTAAAGTCTGTAGAAATGGTCTCTTGAAACAGAAGAACTTTCAGATATTCACGTATGACAGTCACTTATGAATAGGAATTGCATTTTACGGAGCATGTTGGTAGCTCGGTAAAATCGCTTTCATGTAAGATGACTAACAATTAATGCACAACATACATTACATAATTTGGTGTTCACGGTCAAAAATGACCTTTTAAAAATTGCATGCAAATATCTCATTATGCTATATTATGACCAAATCTTGGATTTAAGCGTCCCACCACAAGAATTATTTTTATATTTTGTAGTAGATTTCCTAACCTTGGTCTTCAAATGCCTTCAGCTTTGCACATTTTGTTTGTGTCACCAATCAAACACACCTGATTCAACTCTTCAGGTTGTCAGAAGCAGCTCCAAGACTCGGTCAGATTAGAAAGATGTCCAGGACGTGTACTGTTATGGATATTAAAAATATTTACCAGAGGAAGCGGACATGGCAAACCCACAAAGTTTTCTGAAAAGACCACAACTGTGGCATGTATGGACCCAAAAAAAAAAACCCAACTTTCTGTAGTTACACTGTCCACCCCAACACTACACCCACACTTAAACCCAACTACAGCACCAAATCGGTCCATAACTGCATCACACCTCAATAGCAGCAAAAATGAGTCGCAATTCAACATGAACACCGTAAGTACATTGTACCCAACAACGTATAGAAGTACTAGTTAGTCACCCAATATAAAGTGGGACCATAGTGTTTGTAATGGAAATAAATCTAGGGAATTTCAATAACATTAAAATATCACATTATATTAATACAGGACACAAAGAACACTCTTAAAAATAAGTTACTTTTGGCATCTCCGGTTCCATAATGAACATAACATCCATAGAACAACAAATGTTCCTCACACTAAGAACAAATGATCACCGAAAGGTTCAAAAATGGTTCTTTTATTGCATTGCTACAAAAACTCCCTTTTGGAAGCTTCAGAAGTGTAAACAGTATCAAGCATTAATCAAAAACAGAATGCTTTTTCACTGGTTTCCCTCCACCTCTTCCCCAGGGAGCCGTTCAGTCTCCTGCCACAGACGTGGAGTAGTAATGCCAATCACACAGCAAGCGATTCTCTCCCCAGTATTCCCACTGCGTTTGCTCTCCTCATCCGACCCCATTCCCAGATCATCCTCCTTCTCATGAACCACCACCGCGCGTCCCAGAACGGAGTGACCCCCGAACAGCTTGGCGTCTGGGAGCTTCTGGAACTGCCTTATAACTCCTTGCTCGGGAACAAAGTTGCCCAGGTCTCCGAGATGATCGGGATGGTCAACCTCCCACGGATTGTAGTGATGACCAGCAGTGACGCACCCTTGACTGAGGTCTCCATACTGATGGATGTGGATGGCGCGCGCTTGCCGATCATCGGCAGGCAAACCACGGAGGTTGAGCTTCACTTCTAGAGTGCCATTGGGAAAGACCTGCCTGAAAAGCACCTGCCCAGAGATCTGTGGCTGGCTGGCTGGTAAATTAGGGACGGGAGTTACTTCACAAGTGCCGTAGATTGTGTTGTTGAACTCCACGACTTCTGGCTTTGGAGCTTCGACGATCTCAAGAACAGGACTGTCAGAGAGCTCTCCACTTTGTATATGCAGCGCCAGCAACATCAGAGGCAATTGTAGGATGATTTTCTCACTGTGTTAACTTTTATTAACATTAAAAAAGATGACTAAATGCTGTAGAAATATATTGTTCATTGTTAGTTCATTAACTAATGTTAACAAATGACACCTTATTGTCTTTTTATGATATATAAGAAAGTATTTTAAGGATCTATAAGCATTTGTGAAATAATTTGTTTGTCATTCTAACTAATTGAACTTCGCAGTAAAGGATCAGGCTTAAAATATTTCTTATCCTATGAGTGAGAGAAGCTAGGATATAGAAACACTTTTAATGATCTATAAAATT